ACTCATCATACACCACTCATCATACACGACTGATCACACACCACTCATCATACACCACTCCTCATCCAGTTAGCTCTAATTTCAAGAGCTCCAGCTCCAGTTAGCTCTAGTTGCAAGAGCTCTAGCTCCAGGTAGCTCTAGTTTCAAGAGCTCTAGCTCCAGTTAGCTCTAGTTTCAAGAGCTCTAGCTCCAGTTAGCTCTAGTTTCAATAGCTCTAGCTCCAGTTTATGTGGCAGGCACAGCACTTTGTGAACCTCCATGCGCAGATTTCGTGGCAGGCACAGCACTTTGTGAACCTCCATGCGCAGATTTCGTGGCAGGCGCAATACAAAATACGTTTTCGAGAGATAGCGGACGCACGAAATGGCGCGGTTTTCAATAGAAAGGGTGGCTCCGAAGCTGGCCAGTCGTCAAGCTTTGCGGAACGATGTGTGCGAGACGGTCTCGGGTCATTCTCGGATCATGGTCGGATCATGCTCGGAATCGTCCCTGCATTGCGATTAGAGGTTTGAGTTGTTTCTTGAAGTGCAGATTTCGTGGCAGGCACAGCACTTTGTGAACCTCCATGCGCAGATTTCGTGGCAGGCACAGCACTTTGTGAACCTCCATGCGCAGATTTCGTGGCAGGCGCAGCCCTGTGTGAACCTCCATGCGCAGATCTCGTGGCAGGTATAGCACTTTGTGAACCTCCATGTGGCAGGCGCTATTCTAAAAAATACAATATATATAATATATATTATGAATATATTCGGTTTAATTCCCATCAGTTATGTTACGGGGTCTTGTAAAGCCAATAAGTGGATGCACGCCGTCCGGTCACCATCAGAGCTGGTGGACGAACAATATCCAATCATATGTTGAGCTTGTCCCGCTCACGTTGCGACGGTGTCCCAGTCATGTTACGACGGTGGTGTTGCGACGGTGTCCCGGTCACGTCGCTATGGTATCCCGTTCATGTTGCGATGGTGTCTCAGTTGATGGCGTCTTGGTCACGCTGTGATGGAGGCCTGCAGCGGCTCGAGCACCCAAGCGCTCGGCGCGCAGCACCCAAGCCAAAGCGCACTCCGGCGGCACCAGCACCCAAGCTCCGAAACGCACGCAGCAGCGGCGCCCTGCACCCAAACTCTCAAGCGCAACAGCTCTGGCAGCGGCACCCTGCGGCGGGACCAGCGCCCACGCTCCAACGCGCACGGCCACATTTCTTGCAGCCATCCATCGAAAAAAGACGTCCAGGGATAATTCGAACCACAACGTCACCGAATCGCCTAGTGGTACGTCGCTCGAAATTTTCCCAAATTTTGATGGTTTTTGAAGGCACGAAACCTTCAAATTTCCAAGAAATTGCATCCGTATCTATATATATATATATAATTTGCTTTTTGCATGGCAATTGGAACCAAGAATCTGTACAAGGTCGTTCCTCGCCAAATTCGGCTAAATCAAAGGCAGAAATAGATCCGTGGTTGGCAGTTGTATTTCTGCATTTGCCTCTCCACACTAGTTTATCTAGCAAACAAACAATTTGCTCTGGTCTTCCTCGCATTCTTTCGCCAGTCGTGTCCTATTGAATTTGGATAGAGCTCTTTTGGTTCTGAGAAGCTGGTTCGTCCCAAATCAAATGGCCCTATCCAGAACTGCGATTTGACATCACGGGGTCCAACTGGCGTCGGCGCACAAAGGCCCTGCATTTTAGAGGAAGACGAGCGCATGCTCTTTGTTGGAGTCTGTTTGGTGTGCCTTTGCAGATATTTGCACCTGACCATGTGCATCTGCATCTCGCAACTATGTACAAGATTTGGTAGGTGGGCCATGGCCATTACTCAGCTGCCTGACAAGTTTAAGTTTATGAACTTCACTTGTCCATACAGCAACGTCTCATGCGGTGGCCTCAGCGTCCACCAGACCAACTTCCTCCCGGTTCCTTAAACGGACGGATCACACAAGAGCTCAACAGTCTTTCTGTGTAGGAGTCGCACGAGTGATCGCGTCGTCTTAGTGTAGCCTGGCAACTGAAAGGTCGCGGGAGTGAATGCACCGGACACGTGTTCATTGAATCACAAAGCCGTGGTTCCAATTTCAAGCGTGAAGCATTGAGAATGAAGTGTTCAGAACAGTTCAGAATACCTATGTAAGAACAAGTTTGCCACCAGAAGGATAGAACAAAAGTGAAGGAGCAAGGATAGAATGTATTGCTCCTAGTCAGCCGCCAATCAGTATGATGATTCGATGTTACACATGGATTGGAAACCCATCCAGAGCCATGCTCCAACTTCCAGACACGAGTCTTACCTTTAGAAGATACTCTATCTGGCTTTGCTCATGGTAAATTTCTCAAGAGGTGGGGTCAAAGTGGACAAGGCGAAGTTAAGGGGAGAGTCCCTGAGCCCTGCGGTAGTGCTGTAAAGGCTGCAAGCGCCACTCCAGGCCCATGGCTCAGCATGCGATTCCAAAGCTGAGGCCTTTGGGTTGTAACCCAGGCCCCAATGACAATTCTTGCCCTTGTCCTCACACGAACCAATCCTCAGACAGAAACTCCACTGTCCGTTTTGGCTCTTGGCTCTTGAGCCAAAAGTACAGATGTGTGTTGTGATGATACCCGTGCACCCAAGCCTGCCCTAGACTCAACACTATCATAGACAACTGGCACATACTGGTACCAGTCAATGGGTAACACAAAGAACGTGGCAAACAGCCTCACAAATCCAAATTGTTGTGCGATCTCTAGGTCCCAGGTCTCAGCCGATTAACCGCAGAGCTCACATAAGGATGACAATGCCCACAGTGTCACCAAGCTCTGTGCCACCTACTGCAATCTTAACTCCCCCTTCTGGGAACTGCTCGTCCAGGTCTGCATCCAGCTACTATTAGTTTCATTGCTGCTACTTAGCTACCTCCTCTCTACAGCCAACTCCCCGAATTAGTCTTTCAACTCAAAGTCTACATCACTGTCAGCATACTCTGGTTGCGCCTCAGGCATCGCAGTGAAGTGGTCACCACCTGGTGCGACATGCAGCCACAGGCTGCAAGCATCAAAGGAATGCATACCACTGGGCTTCCAGCTCAGTTCCTGTTCAGGCTGAGCAAAGTTCCTGTTTGACAAGCAGGTGAGTTTGCTCACTGCGCTGTGCTGTAGGACTGTAGAACTGCAGGACTCTTGCTGCAAGCCTTGGCGTTTTCATCTTGGCGAAGTAGGAGTAAAAGCCAGCAGCAAGCAATGCCTCATCCAAAAAGAAGTGGCGTTACTGAGTAGCCAAAAACCAAAGTGAGCAAACAAGAACATGCACTGTGTCCCTCAAGCTACAATCCCTTGACTGTCTTCTGAGGCATTGACAACAAGAAGCACCACAACCACAGGCCCAGCGCTTGGCATGTTGGCCGTTGTTGTGGTATCCTGCAGTGCCATCCCCTGCTTCCGTATGTCATCACTGGCTCAATGTGAAGTGGTCTTGAGAAAAGCCTTCGCTTTGCTAGCAACATGTCTGTATTTGTTCGCATGTGCGGCTGAACATCCAACCTGGAGGACTTTCCCACCAGGCGGTGGCACAAATTCCTGGCTGAGAGTCTGAGAGCGAAGGGAGGCAGCACTTACTTTAGTAAAGGAGGGCTAATTTAATAGCGATGGCCTCCACCTATTAATAGCGATGGCCTCCAACCTAATAGAGCACATGGTAAAGTCCTTAATGAAAAGTCTCCAACTCACAATGGTTCGTCCTCACTGCCCGTTCCTCCCAGCAATTTGGAGAAGGGCGCCTTGTTTGCATCAAAACATGATGATTATAGCGATTTGAAGCACAAATGGTTTTGCATCACCAATGGCCAGTGCCTTCACCTGCACTGAGACCTCTTCGCAAGGCAGCAGCTCCCCAGAGGATGAAGCCTCAATGTGAAAACACAAAATGCAGCTGCAAAGTTGTACGATCTGTTGAGCTCGGACATGTTGCTTCTCAGGAAATGGCGCATTCACACCGGCCCTTGGCCACATTGCAACTTCCAGCCGCAGGACAAGCCTGACAAAGTCTGAATGTGCAAGGAACTTGATCGTATCAAATTATACCGATACCTCAAGGCCGCCCAGGCCTGGGGACAAGCTTTCGGTGTGGCAAGGGCGTCACTCTCCCTAAACTCGACCTATGCGATGGATGTGCAGTTCTGCTTCCTAAGAGCAAGAAATTGAGACACAATTTGATGCATGTGGAAATGGGGCAGCATATGCAAGCAAAGGCCTTCAGATAAACCCAAACAGCTGCACGGAATTCTCTGAGTTGTGGCCCAGACCTTAGCACTGAAGAATAGCTCGGCATCAGAACTAAATACGCTTCTGAGATCCTAGCACTGCATTGGAAGTGGACCCCGTTTCCTCCACGAGGAAAGAAGCCGCGCCGCTAAGACCCATGACCTACAAAGAACTTAAGCACGTAATTCAAGTGTTCAGCTTCTCCAGCCAATGCACCAGACCGGTAACATCGTTCACGAGAAAGAAGCAAAGCCACTACATCAGAGAATTATATATATATAATTCTTAAATTCTTAATAGTCTGGCAGTGCTTTCAGCAAAGATTGCGCTTGAAAAAATAACTTTCGTGATTCTGGAAGAATCTGTGGAAAGGTCACTATGTGGCGGCGTCTCTTGCTTCCCACTTGTAATATATAACAAGTTGACGACCAAATCAGAACACTGTTGAGAAACAAATCAAACCAATGCGCACCTCTGGGTGCTTTGCTGAGTATGCTTTTGCTGCTGGCAACGAGTACACGCCTGGAGCCTCAGTCTTAATGCATCACACGATAAAAACAAATTCAGACTGAGCCGCCCAATAGGCTCTGTACATTTGCCAAGCAGTTGAACGAAAGTGTGTGCGTACCAGCCTCGCAGGGCATTGAATCTTCTGCACGACATGCCGTCTTATCATGTCTTGTCTAGGACCCAAGAAGGCCATCCCACGCAGCGATCCCTGATTCGAGCAAACTGAGGCAAAAATGCAATCTCTGTGTCAACATGTCTCTGAGAACTCGTCCCAAATAAAGCCGGTGCGCCTTACAGTTGCTCTTGCTATCAGCAACACTGGGCAGCTACTTGCACTTTGAATCTGAACTCCTGAACCAACCTTGCAGCCTTCCTTGTGGTGGTGTGACTGTGAGAAGTTAAATGCTTACAAAGCTTGGTGCCAAGCCATCTCACTGAATCATGCCGGATCTCTCGCTCCCATGACCTGATTCTCTCTGACTCGCACCGGATCATTCTGTTCGCTCAGACTGTTGTCAGACTGTTCACTTACGTCCTGTTCGCTCAGCGTGTAGGAACTTTACAAGAAAGAGCCTCCTGCAAAGAGAAAGTCTCCTGGCAAAGCATAGCCAATATTCCAAGAACTCCAAAGCAATGTGTAGTTTGGCTGGGCGGTCCTCCAATTCGATCTGATGTCTCGCTGTTTTCCAGTGACTCATCTATGGGTTCCAATCCAGCAGGCACAAAGTCTAGCACCTTGCAAGCATGTGTAACTTAGTGAGACCTTGACAACAGGCTTGAGCCAGTTGGCCTCAATCTCTTCCAAATCATCTGGAGATGTAAGTTGGATTGTGACCTCAAATTGAACTTCAGACGCGAATGTGGTGGGTCAGTGGACCTAGAGAGCTAAGTTTCTGCACACAAAGAGTTTCTCCAGGGAATGCCACTTTCACCGACTCCCCGACGCAGCGTCCAGGACTTAGAAGCGAAAGACGACCGAAGGGATCCCGGGATGCAAAGAGAAGGAAAAAGAAGAGTCTTTTACAGAAGGCCTCTTTTCACAGGCCTTTACTAAGCCTTTACCTTCTCGTTTCTTCTCTTGCGCGCAGCATCAAAGGACCCTTGAGACACTTGCCGACGTCGACTGGGCTGAGCCACTGAGCCACAGACTGGGATGCTGATGCTCGTTGGATGATCTTTTGGACCAAAAGACCTCTATATAAGAGATGCCCTTGTTACTTGTAGCGATGCCCTTGCTACTGGTACCCAATAGGGACAAACGCTTTGGACTGAACCATGGCAATTATGGTTAGTGCCTCTGAACTGAGGTTCCAGGAAGGGCACCATTGGAATAAAGTTCATGCCATAGCCTGGCAACTGCAGTGCCAGCTAGTTCCACACAAACACTCAAATCTTTGCCGTTGCCATGGTGTTTACAACTCAAGCCGGTCAGACTAACAACCGCCAGCCCTCTTCCCGGGCCAGCTTGAATCTCCAAGTCCATCCCACTCCTCAGCAGATTTGTAGAAGGAACTTAAGCATCACAAAACTATACATATTGAAGCTCATTGAACCTCATTCTTCCACAAAGCGTTCATTCTCAGCTCATTGGTTCTAAAGCCACCTTAGACCCCCCAAGCAATGGACATTCCCAATTGCGTGGGCAGCCTCAGCTGCAGCTCTTTCAAGGCACTTGGGAGAAAGGACTTGAGGTTTCGGACTCATTCCATGGCCAAGCAGTTCGAGCACTTAGAACGGGATTCTGCCCTGACTGCCCAGACTGGAGATCAACCTCACTGGCCATGGTGTAACACACTGGTGTGATCAGGCCAGAATGGCCAAAGAAACTGCTCTGAAACATTGCGAAGCTGGGTTTATATAGTACAGTATATGGAAATCTTGAAGAGTGAAAACAAACAACTGCAAGTTGGGCGTTTGCCCGTGACAGTAATGTGTCTTGATTAGCCTTACATATATAATTCCTTTCCCATGTGCCTGCAGAAGCTTCTTGCCAGAAGGCTTCGCGACAACTTGCAATGGAATGTTGCACTGAGATGACCCTGGCAAATTTGCAGAGACCAGGCAAATGGTTTGGGATTTGGTGAAAGTGAGTGACAGTTGTAAAATTTAGGCCTGTGGCTGTGTCAAAGGCTACCAGGGCGAGGGATGCCATGATGATGTCCCTGCATGCTTCACATCTGAACACTCCAAGCCACCGACCTCGAGAATCCGAGAGTCAGGCTGTGCTGGAAGGTGTCGTTGCCAAGGACAAAGCCCCTAAGAGCGTGCATCGATTCCCCACGTTGCCGTTTTCTTAAGCCCGCGGGGGGTAGGCCGCGAGTAGCGAGTATTCAGAGGAATAGTTAGTAGTTTTAATCCGCCCGCACCCAAAGTGCTCAGAGCGTGATCATCCGGATGGCATAAATGACTGTAAGGTACAGGTTTACCTGGGGGGGGATATTTTGGTGAAAACAATTGGCTTTTGATAGGTCGCGACTGCGGACTTCAAAGAACACTGTTTTTTACAGCACGGAATGGACCAGTTCGTGCACACGCCCGCCGGGAACCGGCAAGAGAAATGTGAAAAAAAAAAACCTATGTTTTATGACTTTTGGTCTTCGATTTTCGGTTTTGAGACGTGTTCTTTTTTCATGTGTCTCGTCGGGAGGCCAGGGGGCCAGATTTTGTGATTTCGGAGCTGTTTGGGTGACGGGTTTCGCCGCTTTTGTTGGGCAGAAACATTGATTTTTTCAGTGTTTTTGTACATTGCCGAGGCTTGACGTCTTTGCACGAGAATGTGTTCTTGGCGACAATGTCGGTGAAAAAATCGCAAGTTGCGGCTTTTTTTGACAGCAGCAAACACTGTAAATAGCGGTGCTTTGGGCCACGGCAAGCTCAAAAACATCGCTATTTGCAGTGGCTTCTGCCATCTTCTGCCTCACAGAACATAAACACACTGTAAAATGCGGTGCATAGTGGTGGCTTCGGCAACGTCAACCTCAAAAACCTCGCTATTTCTAGCGGCTTTTGCTTTCCGGTGTATGAAAACACTGTCAATAACGGTGCTTCGGGCAGATGCAAAGCTCCCCAAATATATATATATATATGTGTATATCTGTTAAGAGCCTTCTACGATCTTTCTTGCGTCATGCCATCACTCATCCGACTCGCTATTGACTTGTAGGGCAACATGCACGGCGTGAGCAAAAGCCTGTTTTTTTGACTTATTTCCGTCTTCGATTTTCGGTTTTGAAACGCGTCTTTGTTTTTCGTGTGTCTTGTCGCGAAAGCCGGGGGGCCGGATTTTCTGATTTCGAGGCTGTGTGGGTGACAGTTTTCGCCCTTGTTGTTGGGCAACTGTTTCATGGCGGTGCGGGCGGACCTTGCCGCGGAGCGGCGTGAATAGCTACTACTTAGGGCGCAGGATAGCTCGCGCTTCTTCAAGGAAACGCCCCCCAGGGCGGCGAGGAAAGCTTCCTTGAAGAATCGCTCGCACATGCTCGCACTATTCATTTGGTTCCTAGAATTTTAGGGAAACTTAACCTATTTGCATTGTGTGTTCACACCAGGAAACAAGCCACAAGTACAGTATGTGGAGATGGACTCAAGACGCCGAGGGGGAAGGCAAACAGAAATACCAAAATACCAATGTAAAAGAGCTTGAAGTGACCACCTTGCCTAAGAGTCTGAGACAGAAGGCAAAGGCGGAGTCAGCAGTCAACGCAGTCATTCAGTCAGAATTTAGAACCCACACGGTAAGTAAGGAGTATGCACAAACAAACTGTTCGACAAACGACAAGACTATTGGGAGCAAACATGATGTGAGATACATGCATGTTCTGGTCGTTCGAAGTACACATCACAGGCCTCTATATTGCAGAGTGGGAAGACACTGGAGCTCCAGGCCCCCGAGAGCACATGGGTCGCGACCAAGGGCGCAAAAGGATGATTGACCTTAGACCCCAAGAAATACATTAGCAAGCAGTTCAGTGCCAGATCCATTTTCAGGCAGGTCAACAGAATTCCAACCACTGCCACGAGGACTTCACATACTTGCTGCCAGTCCAAAGCCACAGTGCAAGAGATTGCACTGATCTCCTGGCCGCGTGCATGCCTTGGTGCCAGAAAACTATTTCTGCGTAACACATAGACTCAAACCTTGACATGGAGGCCCGTGCTGCCCTGACTCTCGGCAAAGTATGCTGTTGGGCCTTGTACCTGCACAACCATGCTTGGAGGAACAAACCTCAAGGTAAACCTAACAGGAGTCAGCTGTGGCACACCCGAATTCGTTCGAGCAAAGCATCTGCTGCCACCTGGAAAATCAGTGATGCCTAAAAGACCTTACCATGCAAAAGTATCTGTTTGCCAAAAGACACGAGAAAAGGAAGAGTATAGAGGAGTGCAAAACTGTGGAGTGCAAGGCTGCAAGGACAATTGGGAACCGCTCTGCCGCTCGTCGATCTGCTCCAAAATCTATGACGGCACCATGGCCAAGCTGTCCGGAGGCCTCAGGGATGGCCAAGCTACACAGCACACCGTCGCGTTGCCATGGCTACACAGCACACCGTCGCGTTGCCATGCGATGCCATCGTCAAAGCTTCAAAGCTCCAGGCCAAGCGCGTCAGCAGGTCAAGCTGTGAACCTCAAGACATGTGGAAGATCCAATCCATAGGAGCTACGGCTCCACACCGCGGAACAATGTTGGCTAGGATGTCTGATTAGAGAACATCCAAGAGGATCACTCTAAACCAACCTGGGCGCAGGCCACTTGGTCCTGTTATTGCTGTCTGCAAGATCTCCTTGTCAGGCATGTCATTATCTTTCGATGTCAATCCAATTTCCTCAACTCGGTGCTAACAAGAGACTTCCCACAGGGGCAGCAAATCTGGCCTCTCACCACATCATGCCACAAGAAAGCGACTCCAAGTTGCACAGCCTGGTTTGTGCTTCTGGTAGCGCCAGAAAGAAAATTGCTAGTTCCCGGTGTCCGATGAAACCTTCGAAGAAGATGCAGTGGACAGACCCTGTAATTGCAATGAGAAGTCACAGGGCACGTTGGATGAGAGCCCAACTTGCAAAGGTAATGTCTCTTGCGCAGCACCTCAACCCCACACTCAAAAGTGTTTTGTTTGCCTAAAGAAAAGCATCGTGTTCAGTCCAAAAAAACAACCGCTGCGGCTGCCTCTGCCAATCTGCTCTTCTCAACTGGATGGCCTAAAGCCAACGCAAACACTGCCCATGAATAATCCATTTAACTGCTTGGATGCGGCAACGTGGCCTTGTAGGCAGCTCCAGCCAGCGCATCTTTGTCCAGTGAAGCCTGCAAATGGCTGCAATTGATATTGTAGAATGCACAATTAAGACTGGAAGCAAAACCATGAAGTAACCCACTGTCGCCTCAAGATTGGGTCGTGGGATGACTGAGTGACCACTGTCATCATTGTTGGTCGGACGTCAAGCTGAGTCCAAGACCCAGGCAGGTGGCACACCACCCAAAGAGTCTGCCTGGCACGTAACAACTCACGTTGAACTGTTCATCAGCCAGGAAAATTTATTTGCCAGTGAGACGGCTCGTAGCACCAGCAATGCCAAGGCATTGCTCAAAAGCTCAGGCTTCTCCTCACCTGTCAGGTTCACTGCATTGTTTCCTGACAGTTCTGCCTTGCATCACTGCTGCACCTGTTTGCCAGCGGCGATGCTCAGGTGGTGTGTTGACAAAGCCGAGGAAGGGATCCATGAGAACCTGCTTGGTGATGCAAACAGGTGAGGCTATATATATATATATATCGCCCGCCAGAGACTGGGACTTGCCTGACCAGCCAATCGTGCTTGAGCAACGGAGATCGCTGCATCCAACTCATGTGCCTCTCAAGTTTAAAGGTCAAATCACAAGGCCTCTGAACTAGACCAATGCCTCCATCCCGTAGCCGGCACGTAAAACGTGACCGCCCAGCAAGATTGCCTTTTGCAATTCCATCTTCGCATCTCATTGTGAAACCAATGCTTCCGATGGAAGGAGTAGAGGACATTGTAGTGCGTTTTTTGACAAGTTATCCTTGATCCAACACACAATCACTCTCTATGGTCAACCGGGCAATGGTGTTTAAATGCCCTAGGGGAGCTTCATCTAGCAAAACAACTCTTCTCTCGACTCGAAAGCATGCTGGGAATCAGGCCAGAATGGTCTCTCCTTGAGGCTGCCAAGGATGATCAGCAGGCGTTGGAGCAAGCTGAGTCACAGCTGAAAGGTCCGAAACCACATATATAAGTCATGACATATATGTATTATAGGTGCAGCAGTCATAATGAACGACAAATCCAAGAGAATCCAAGAAGGAGCGAACAACTGTTCTCTGAATCAAAATGCAGCGGCGGAGGCGCGCCCCGCGGCCATTCACTGGGATCCCTCTTTGGTGCAATTTGACTAAACAGTACAAGCTTTTTGGGCCTGCATGATGGCATCAAGCAAAGGAGCCTCCAAACGCTGAAGAAGTTCTGTTGAGTTGAAGAATCAGCAGCGACAAACTGACGAATTGACATGAAGGTCGTGTGCTTGACACATACACAATGCTAGGTTGTGTCCAGTCACAATGCTCAAGCGCTCCAGCAAACTTGTGTTGCTCGATCCCAGCTGTTCCATCATGCCAAGTTTACTCTCATCATGCCATCGAGCAGGGTTGCCCGATGAAGGGAAATCATAAGCGAAGCAAACATGATCTTGCAAAATGCGAAGCTTTGCCTGATGCCCAGCTGAAGCTGATAAAGACATTTCGCCAGATCCAGGAACTGCCTTTCCAAACGATCATGCAGTGATGACTATAGTGCTACAGTACAGCTGATGCAGTAGAGCACAATTGTTGGCTCACTTTGTGCCTTCAGGGCTGCCACGGCCTCCTTCCGAAGAACTGCCTTCAAGCATAAGGAAGCATGCAAACATGAAGCACAACAGTTATATATATATATATGTATCGAGAGAGAGAGAGAGATGGTTTCAGTTCTTCGAGCATCTTAATATTCCATGTGGCGAGCTCAGAGAACACGGAAGCCTTCGAGGCATCTGCTTGGATGCTCGTTGTGGATGCTATGCGCAGGCCCTGAACAGTGCAATGAAGAGCTCCAAAGAAAATTGGATTGCATAGACTCTATGTTTTCAAGTCGCAAGGCAGTGCTCAAACAGTGAGGCTAGAGGCATATGACATGCAAGTCCACCTGTTGCTGCTCCTCCACCTTTACTGTTGCTTCAACCAAGTCCAGCGTTGCACCATCCACATCCTGAATCTGAAGACAAAGCCAGCAAGACAAGACTTGAGTGATGGTGCATAATTCTGAAAAAAAATAGCTGCAGAATCCTTGATGCTGAAAATCACACTTGCAGGACCCACTGCCAGGTCAGCTGCAAATGTAAAGCGGACCTGGCAGCAGTTCGAGTTGGTTTGGTGAGGGTCTCGCAATTCTGTAGTGCCTCGGTCGATGTACCCAGCATAGTGACAGCTTGCTGGCCCTTGCAGACAAAGACAATGCATATATATATATGCACTAAATGAATATATTGTTGTATTTGGTATGAAATCCGACAGGTCTCACAAACTGAAAAATGCTGAGTGATCCAAGTGGTCATTCTTTCCAGTGATCCAACTGTTCTGAATCTCATCTTAAATCGGAAACTCCAAGAAGGCCACCTCGTCTAAGAGGCGAAGATTCTGCAGTTCTAGAGCTTCCACCACCAGTGAACGAGGTGATTCACCGGAAGTGGCCTCAGTGCCGCAAGGTGAGCCGACATTAAAATACTGGAACAAGATTAGTAGGGCCTTTAGTTACCCCTTGCTACTAGTGACAACAAGAAAGCAAGCTTTTTGCGAGTCCATCCAAGGCCCCGGCTTCGATGGCAATGCCCATGCGACACACGTCAGCGAACCGTAGCATCTGGCAGTGTGGTAACTCCAGCACAGGACCCGTGGATGCCTGATTGAGCTCAGGACCCGCGGCAGGAGCGGCTTGCCGTACCTTGAGATACATATACAAATGTATGTGTGTATATATATATATATTAATGCGCACAAATCCGAAGAAAAAATGCATCTTGCATCTTACCTTTCCTCCACATTGAGGAAACACGAAAATGCTGTAGCTACTTGACTACACTGTGAGAACTGAGGCTCGCACACCTGCTGGGCTGTGTGCACTGAAGTTTCTGCCGCGCCCCAAGACCAATTCCCACCCTGCGTGCCGAAGACCGCTGACAGGCAGAAGAAGTGGGAGGTTCTGAACACTTTGACTCGGCCTCCTTGGACACTGCAACAACTCGTATCACATATGTGGAAAGATCTTCAGGAAGCCTGCCAATTGGGCCAATTGGAAGCCAACATCTCAGCGCTAGGAACCTCTATAACCCACGCATGCCCAAGCACCCATGCCACCTTATTCGGGTTCTCCAAGTGCTAGCACCAACTTCCTCAAGTTGAAGGCGCGAACACTACCACTGTCCGTTTCTTGCAACTAGACTGAGCTCGGATCCAACAGTGCTCGGTTCAAAGCCACCAATTTGGCCTCGTTGCCCGCTGAAGTGCTTCAAAAATGTCTTCAGTAGCCTTTCGATTTGGCCTTCTCAAAGGGGTTTTGAAAGTGCACAAAAGAAAACAGGGTAAAAACAAGTTCCCTACAAAGCGCTTCCGCAGCGTCACTGCTGGCCCACTTCCAGGTGCCTCCGAAACTGTAAGAATTGTAAGAATGGACAGGCTCGAATCGAGGCACTGTGCAGGGATGCAACGCAGTGTACACAGTGACTTTTGATGTCGCATGATTAAGATCTTGATAGGCCATCCTCGGTCCCCTCATCCATCGCGGCTCCTGCTGCTACCTGTGTGTGTGTGTGCGTGTGTCTGTGAGGCTTCCCGGATCACACCGCTTCAATTAGATTGTTTCACAGGCTCGTACTGGTGCACTCTCTTCCACAGCGTCTGCCATCAGCGCCATCGGAGCCATGCTTTTGGCCTCAAAAAAACTGTGTAATATACAACTCACCCACCAAACATCTTGGTGCTTTACTCGCATCTCTCTGGATGTACGAGGCTGTGCCATGAGGATCTCACCATGAGCATGGGTCCACCACGGAGGAGCGCCGATTCTGGGAAGGACCCCTTGGGCAAATTGGAATGCCATTGGAAGTAGAACTTCTATGAATCTACAAAATGTGACTGCATAGCTGGGCACTAAGGGCCAAACAAACGAAGGACTGGGAAAGTCTGTCAAGTCCTGATGCAAGTTTTCTCATCTTTGATCTTGCGAATGGATCTGGTACGCAAACCCCAAAGCCTCCGCCCATCTGTTCATGTAGTGCTCATCGTCCAACAAGGAGTCGTCCTAGTACAACCAGAAAGCAAAAATGACTTGACATCAACGGCGTCGTAGTCATCCTCTAGCTTACATCCATTTTGTGTGTGTGTCCCCCACCGCGGGATGCAATGCCAGTGGCCAGCCAATGTAGCCCGTCTGATCACAGGACATTGCCACTGCTTTTCTTCATCTCTTGTAGTGCACACAGTTGAATTGGAAAAGCTCAACCACACGCAGTAAACAGTTGCCGCACCCAAGGATTCTCTTTAAAGCTTTGGCGGATGCGTTCAGTGGCCTCTGCACGGGGAGCGCACTAACAAGCGTTCCGTTTGTTGATCTTCTTCTGCTGTGCCCTTTACACACTTCGCCATCGCTTCTATGTTGGAGGCCATCGCTATTAGGTTGGAGGCCATCGCTTCTAGGTTGGGGGGCAAAGCGGCCTTTAAAAAGGTCCCTTCTGTTTGTTGCGTGCCTTCACCAACGATTTCGCTGAAGCAATCCCATCCAATGATGTTGCAACACGCCACCTCAGACGGAATGTCTGCAGGTGATATAAGCATAAGTTCAAGCAAAACACCGAAGCCCAATGGCAGAAAGCTGTTCAATTTCTAAGACATCAGCTGCGGGCCCCTAGACAACAGCTTTTCTGGCTCAAAGGCCTTGACCCAGCACACGGTTACAGAAAGTTCAAGTGAAGTATCAAAGCACCAAGGGTTTGTCTTTGGCTTTGTTTCTCTTGAGTCGTCGCAACCTGAGTTTCCAATCTGCCTCCATCGGCTCTCGCAGCTTAAGAGGCTGCAAATCCAGCCATGCCTAGCACATACTCCCTCTCTCTCTCTCTCTCTTCCTGCCTACCACCTGCCTACCAATATGTATATAGAACTCTCTGTCTCTGCATTTCCGAACATTTTTCAGTTGAAGTTGGCACACCTTGTCTACAACCAGGAGTGCCAGCTCTGCTTGGGAGTTCGGAGGCTGTGTGATGTCAACCTCGCCGGCACAGCTGCCAAAAGGCCCCAATTTCAGTCACAGCCTGCTCCTACATAATTAAGTAGGTGTCTACTTAATTAAGTAAGGGAGTAAGCTTCTAGCAACTCGCAGGATAGCTCACGCTATTCATTTGGTTCCTAGATTTTCGGGAGACTTAAGTCGCAACCACGCAGCCTTCCGCTTCAGTCAACCCTCAGTCGACAACATTGATATATAGTAGCCAAATCTTCCTCGTCAGATCACTACTAGCTGCAATAGAGTGCCATGCTACGACCACGGCTAGGACTCGAATGCGAATGTGACTGACGAGGACTATGACCACTACCTCTATCTCCACCGCCGCCACCGCTATACATCACTACTACGACCCTATTTCCGCCACTACTCGTCCTGCTTGCTACTACTTGCTACTATGTACTACCATGCGCGCAACCTTCTGCATCGCGTGAGACCCGGTCGGGCATATTGCCCCTCCTCCTACTCCTACGACTAGTCTATTCCAGAATTCTATGCTTTGCCGCTTTGCCAATATGCCTGCCCGCCTCTATTTCGACATCTTCACCAGGCTTCACAACTTTTATGTCAGGCTTCAGTTTCACCTGGTCGTTCGTATGGCAGCACATCCAAGCAACAATCCTTGACAAAGGTTCTACAACTGTTTGACACTGGCTACTGAACGTTCCAAAGGAAATGTTCAATGTTGAATGACCCTGAATGTGCCAGCTGACTGTAAGGACTCATGTCTTGAGAACTGGCCAAGTTCGTGTGGTGGGAGATGCGACAGAGGACCAAAACAATCCAACCAAGACAGACCGCCTTCAAGATGTTGGAGGGCCGCTCTATCTGCAATTCTACCTGGCGAGAAGCCAGTTGTATGGCACTTCCAAGTGTGCATGCCCAACCTCCTGGTGTGCCCACAGAGGAGCTCCCTGCAAATAAGAACTCACACTAGCGTTTGCTGAAACTTTGTTTTCAGCCTTGGGATAGTGTATGGACAACGGGACATCCTCGATCAGCGTGTTTGTATCATCGATGCTCCACAGAAAGACATGCACCTGACCGCCGAGCAGCGTTACAACAACAAGATGAATCCGTGCATTCATTGGAATAATTGTCATCACCGAATATCTTTTAGAGTTAAGAGATTAGGTACAGTAAGCGGAATACTTGCTTGAACACAAGCGCCACAGCCTTGCAAACAGTCATTGGACAATCTTCATCGCGTAGAACTCCAAGGTCGACCTAATCCACTCAAGACTCTTACGATAAGAGGCTTTTTGCTTTAGATTTTTGGGATTAGGTCTGTTTGCCTATAAAGTTTTAGCATTATCTAGTCTCTTTAGTCTTAAAGGGCCTTTTGTTCACACCGTCATTTGGACCGCACTTGGGCTCAGACCGTCTCTCGTTGGGCGACGTTTGAAATCTCTGTAACCTGTGCACGCAGAAGCCAAACGAAAAGAAACTCCAATCTAATCTGGCAACAGATTAAACAAAAACGTTGCTACATCTTACAGCCACAAAAGCGCTCGTCAATTGTGTGTTCAAAATGTCAGTTGGAGCAGTTCCAAGCCCTCGGCAGCAGGCTTTGCACCCCAAAGCAAAAGCATGCGTGTCTTCACTCCCAGTGGATTCCAAACCTGCGAAAGATTCTGTTCTTCATGGTGAACAGTTCGTTGTTTGTCTAAGCAACTCAACTCTGTGTTGCACAAAGGCATGTGCATTGTGTCTGCAAGACTCAAACACAAGGGCATGACTACTAGTAACAAGGGCGTTGCTACTAGTAACAAGGGCATTACTAGTAGTAATAGTAGCAAGAAGCTACTAGTAACAAGGTATTACTCGTAGCGATGCCCTTGTTACTAGTAGCAAAAAATATAGCTGATGCATGATTGAGAGTACAGCGTATGAATACATTAATTTGCATAGTGCGTAAGAATTTTCGAGTAGATCAACAATGATAGACAGCACCTATGGGAGAGTTGAAGTTTTGCAAAGTAGTGGTAGTGATTGGATCGCAACCGCCATTGATCCGATGTATCTTGGGCAGAGAGTTTTCAGCTCTAGAGACATTAGAAACCCACCCATAGTTCTACTGCAACTCAATCAGCACACCTCCGGGGAGTGAAATGGAATGTACCACAAATAAGCAATGTAGCAGCTCAGGTAAGAAAATGCCAGCTAACCTTTAAGACAGGAGCATGTCAAGGTGTTTGTCCTCTCTCTCTCTCTCTAGCAAACACAGCAGCAGCTTTATGCATAATTGACGTCTGGCCAGGGTACTCAGCCTGTAGCTTCACCGTGTCCCCAGGCATAAAGTAGGCTGCTGAAGGCCGCACCTTGAAGCTTTGAGATGGCTTGTTGCAGCTCGTGGTGTAAATAGAAAGCTCGGTGGAACTCGTTGCATTTTACCCAGCAGATATTTTAGGAAGGAAAGAAGCAGAAACAAAGGAGCATTGTAAGATCCGCCTCAAAGCGCTTGAAAAGATTCGGTGATGCCAAAGGCCGCCGCCTGCCACAACTGTGTGAACAAACGGAGCCGGACTCACATGTCAGGGACCGTCGCCTCCAATCTTCTGCTGCACGCCCCAGGAACGTGCAGCTGGAGACAGTATGGTCCTGAAAGCCACATGTAGTGTGGTCAGTGATGCCATCAAAATCTAGCTGGCAACAGGCCGGAACAAATGGTGACTGGAAGAACCAGTAGCAGGAAGAGCCAGTAGCAGGCCACTACCAATGGCACTGGAATTAACAAACACATAATCTAGGATAATGTTGTAAGGCTGCTGAAACACTCTTCAGTACCTGTTACCAACTCATCATAACTTGTGTCGGACAACGGTTGGAAATGTGAGGAGAAGAGCTTTGTTTCCAACTGTCAGCTGTAAACTTCGTGCCCGGTCCTGGTCCATCTCATCGCGCCTGGCTGTTGACGAGTTGGCAGGCTCAGGCAGTGCAACTTGCTTGGTTGCATTCGTTAATGACAGGACTACGTAAACTCAATCAGTATGGCGTGGTCTGCTGTGGAACTGCTTACGCAAACAGTTTTGCTTGGTACGCTGCATTTCAACTTGCGCCACCACGGCAAACTTCCCTGTGCTTGGTAGCCTGCGAGGCTGGAGCCAAGTTGCTCAATCGATTTCAACGCCTTTCTAGCCTTTCTCCCTTTGTGTATATATATATATATGCATGTTGTATGCAAGTTGCAAAGTGCTGTAACAAGACATTGAGCCTGAGATGGCAGAGCGCTCTTCCGGTCGTATGAATCTCTTGTCGGCAACTCCTGCGGTCCAAACAATGTAAAGTGCAAGGCATCCACAAAAGACAGGCCATGCTCTGAAAGCCACAATCCCTTATACAAAGCGGTCATCAGAAGCATGCCTGCCGTCGGCATTGTCCAGGACCCGTGACTTGGCGCCACACATTTATGACGAAATCATTCAACAAAAGCAAACAACTGAGGCACTCTCCTTTGCCTTCTCCTTGGCTCGAAGCCATTCCTGGCAAAGAAGTGCAGGTCACCGTGAGGGCTCAAACCAAGGCTTGAGAAACATGTGTATAGTATATAGTGCCAAGTTAAAAATATATATATATATATACTGTCGACCAACGGAGAGGGTGATAGAAGATCAAGAGAGATAAAAACACTACAAGACGAGTGTTAGATAAGCGGTGGAAGGCAGGTGAGACCAGACTGGGCAAGAGGAAATGAGGTGCAGCCAGGGAACTTGCAATGAGGAAAGTGAGAGGGAAGCAGAAGCCTTCCATTTCTTTTGAACCCTGTTTCTCAGTTTTCATAGGTGTCCTTTTCCAGGTTTCACTGCAAGGCCAAGCCCTGCTGTCCGTGATATTTCTTCACCAGGCAAAGGTTCAGCAGGAGGCGGTAGTCACATACGCTTCCTGTGCTCGCGCAGAGCTATAAAGATCGGCGCCTTTGCATCAAAAGGAGTGCAGCGCAGCGTGTCGATTTCATGAAAGCTCAAGGCCATCCAGGCAGTACTGCACTGTCATGGTGGTCAAACAGCATGTGTGAGCTCTAGGAGGCCAGCAAACAGTTTTAAAATGGAGCCTGACTTTCTTTGTTTACTCTTTTTTTGATGGCCTCCTACAGCTCATGGTGCAACTATATATAGGTGTGGTGAATCTTCTGCAAGTGAACCGGACGCAAGCTCCAAGGGTCTACTGCACCCTGTGGGCCAGCTTCAGCGCCACCCAGTCAAGCAAGCTGTGGGCTGCAGACCGAGCTCCAGACTGTGAGAATGAGGCGTGACATACTTTCTGACTTTTGATGCTTTCAACGTTTCTGGAGTGATCCAGAGAAAAGTATCTCTTGATACTATGCCAGTAGTGCCACAATGCTAGGCATGGACTCATTTGCACCACGGTCTTTTGCATGTCACAATTCATCCTGATAACTTACAGGCTCAAACTAGTGTCGGCAGCTAAGACTGCAGGGTCCTTGTTGTGAATGTTCTACAAGTTCTTCCACTAAGTCAAAGAATAGGAGCGTCACAATGTGCCATGCCGGTGCTTCGATTCTTGCTCCGAAAAAATGCGTGCTACACCTGTTTGTTGCACAAGCGGATACAGGACAAATACCATGACACTGGGAATTGACCCCACCACGGCAGGCGGTCACTGAAGCGGGAGGGTGGGTATTCAGATTCGATGAGACGAGACAAGGTGGAGCACGATGAAGTGTGGAGTCGAGCAGAGACCGGCAAAGTGGCATTAACCGCAACGGCGGGGGTGTCTCTACTATACCATTGGTTTTAAGCCTGAGCTTCTTGTAAAAGCAAGACGGGCCGATACAAGAGCATCCAGCTAGCGAAGAGCCAACTTTCGTCATGACAAAAAGCCGATGACATTGACAGTGACATGTAGTGCCAAAATGCCGGCAGTGCATCACAGCCTTGGCAACAGAAGTTGAGTGAACTCCAACACTGCAATCTCTCACAGCTTGCTGAGGATGAAACTCTCTGTAGCCTTGGAGTCATCAGCAGCCACCAAAGACAACTGTCCAGCCTTGGCTTTTCACTACTATCCGTCAGCTTCTTTCGACAGATATATGTAGCATCATGTTCAAACCGTCCACTATCAAATTTGGTCAGGAATGGAAAGCCGGATGGCCAGATGGCGCAATCACACATTGCAGTTGTTCAGCTCTGGACATTGTGCACGCTCCAGCCTTCTGTGGCATACTTTGCCTCATTCCATGGTGAGAACCCGAGCTCAACGGTCAACTAGTGTGCATGGTGTGCAAAGCGCCTCAAGGGAGGTCCACATAGCGAATTCCTGGCCTTTGGGAGGTGGAAAGATCTTAACTTACTTCAATAAGTTTCTTGGTAAGCAAGCAAACAAACTGCAAATTGTGGTTGGTGATGAAGCTGATTCTGCTACATACAAAACTTCATGACCTGGTAGCGGTCCATCGGCATTGTGCATGTCTGCTGATGTCCTCCAGAGACGTCTTGCTTCCATGCTTCCGCAACATGTCTCTGTTCGACATACGCTTCGGCTTTTTGGTCAAAGTTTCTCCTCAAAGTGATATCCCACGGCCCAATACGCACCGGTAGTTTGTGTGACCTCGAAAGCACTTGCTTTTTGAAAGGTACCTTGAGGAAGCCAGGATTTCAAAGCAAGCTCAGTTGCAGACTTGGTCAGCATCTCACCGGTTGGCCCCCGAGCCTTTACCTCAAGTAAAAATAAAGCGTTCCCGCTACTAGGAAGCGGTTCGCAATGCGAAATGGCAAAACATAATTGGCCCAAGTCCCAATGTCTTTAGAACTGGGCAAGCGTATCATCCTTGTAGGTATAGTACAGTATATAAGTATACAAGTGTTTTGTATGCGTACTGCAGCAATTGTTTTGAGCACACCTCATACATGCTAGGAACTTCTATGCGTGTAGTTTCTCGTGTCAAACGCAAAGTTTCGAGCTTGAAAGTGCAGGCCTTAACAGTGATCTCATCTCCAAGATTTGGCACCCATGGCAAGTCACCTGATGGGTGTCACTAGATTGGATTCATTGGAGTGTATAATAACTATATATATATATATATACGTAGAAATTTTCATAGTTTGGAGTATTTGTGATAGTTGAGGTAACCCAGATTTGGACATTGTAGGGCCTCCAATGCGAAGCTCCTGACAAGACACATCTAGCAGGAAATCATTTGATGAAGAACAGTATTTCACATGCAGTGGACGGCCGTTTATCTATGCAGTATCCCACGCCCCTTTATGCCCTTGGAGGGATTGAACAAGCAAAAAGAAAACCCTTCCTGACAAAACGGCCCTTCAAGACGAGAATCAGACTTCCACTGCCTGTACATGGCTACAGTAGAAAAGGTCGTGGAAACAAGCAATGCAATGGCTGGCGGTGAGACCTTGCAAAGACAAGCAGGAGATGAAGGCAAACTAGAAGACAACCAAAGCAATTTTTGATTAGATTTATCCGAAGGACAGAAGGATTGGTGGAAAAAGAAAGGAGTGGGAAAAAAAATCCAAGGGAGAACTCGCCAAAACAGGAGAGGATGGGGAAACCTGACAAGAGGGAAAGAAAGCCAGTAACACACCAATGTGTAATTCGGGCTGGGTTGACGTGCACGTTCCTGGCAGTGCCAAATGCAAAATCACCCAAACAAAGAAGCACCAGACCTGGGAGAGAGCTGGCGATCTGTCCAGCCCACAATCTTTCGGCACGCTGCATCACATGGGATTCCAAGTGTGAAACGTCGCCCGATCGAACTCCGCTTGGGCACCTCAGTGCGCGAAAGCCTCTTCCACCTCATTCACCCCAATCTCAAGCACAGGCTTTAAAAGTTACCGTCTGTGCGCAAAGAGACGCGACAAACTTATGAAAATGATTTCCTCTGCAAAGACTTGCCGAGAAAGTCAGAAAGTCACGGGGGCAGGTCCTGAACAAGGGTGAATGAGGGCAGTTGGACATTTTGCTTGAGAATGCATGAAACATATTGAATCATTATCTCAGAAATCAGACGGTGGAATCCCATGATTCCACGTCCGGTCAGTGTTTTTGCTTCACGCCTCTCACCCATTGCAGTGCCTAAGCTTTGTCCAAATATTATTTGCGTGATGAAGAATCAGAGTGTCATGTGTTGGGCTAATCAGTGGCAATTTCCTATATAGGCCAAGCACTTTGGTGGACGCCATGCGCTGTCGTTGCGTTGTGACCGTCTCACTACAAGAACCATAAGTACGACCAAGATTTGAGCCACACTTTCCTCCCATGTAGGTCTTCCAATCGCACGTCTCGGTTGTCATAGATACCGATGCGCTGGCTGGAATTCCATCTGACTCATCAGCAAGTGTTGCCTAAAAAGATCTTGCATCTTCTGCATTGCCAACTCGCCGAAACTATATAGTAGAGAGTAAAAAACCCGGGTTTTACCTCCTCTGATCCGCTTCCCTAGATAGCTAGCTCACTTCGTTCGCGAAACTAACTTCAGCCACGGCATGGTTTGTCCAACTGCAACCACGACGGAACCAATAGGCCACTGGGATTCACTACAGCAAATAAGGAAGACGAACAAAGCACACGGCACGCATTGCAAAGAACCTCTGAAATATGCGTGTGTGCGTGTCCCCTGTGGAGTGACGAGGTTCCTTTTGGGTTGCTCTGCTTCATGATGTTCTTTCAGCAGAGGAGTGCGGCGTGATTGTGGGACCGCACTCAACGAAGCTACCACAATCACGGGAGACCGAGTCTGATCAGCTCCGCGTACCTGCCTGAGCTTTAAACTTTTGTAGAGGTCTAATGAGTTCGGCTGTCATGCACGATACGCCGTCATTTGTCGTTTCGATTTCGACTTGAGCTTTTGGCCCCATCTCTTTTTGAAGACCTCTAGGCTCCATAGGGTTTTCCTGGACTTTTCAGGATTCTGGTCTCTTAGGTTGCCGTGTGGCGAGTGGCATTCACATCAGTACGCATAATTTCAAGTGTGTCTGGCTTTATGCCAGCCCAGGGTGACCCCGAAGAGTGGCCCTGTGGACCCGTCGAACGGGGGTTTGTCGTTGTTCCCCCTGCCCGGGATCGTAGGTGTCCGAAGCAGACAGCAGGAGGCTTATGCCAAAGTTATTTGCCAAGATTTGCTGAATTTTTGAGTACAAGTAGGCAGCTTTCGAGCAAGCCATTAGGTGACCGGAGCGGTCTGAGCAGCCAGCCATTTTGGCACGGCACAAGGTGACCATAGCGGTCAAAGCAAGTTGAAGGTTCATTCGAATTTGTCGGGGTCTTAGAGTGATGATTTCCCCACCACCTTTCCCTGAGGTTCACCGATTCTCGTAGGTTCAACTCTCACCCAACTTATGACTCTCGTCCAGAGCTTTAAAAAGAACGCCTCCCCTCGGGGAGGCGTGTGTGTGTGTCCCCTCTGGAGTCACGAGGTTCCTTTTGGGTTGCTTTGCTTCATGATGTTTTTTCAGCAGGGGAGTGCGGCGTGATTGTGGGCCGCACTCAACGAAGCTACCACAATCACGGGATACCGAGTCTGATCAACTCGGCGTACCTGCCTGGATATTGAACTTTTGTAAAGGTCTAATGAGTTCGGCAGTCATGCACGATACGCCGTCATTTGTCGTTTCGATTTCGACTTGAGCTTTTGGCCCCATCTCCTTTTGAAGACCTCTAGGCTCCATAGGGTTTTCCTGGACTTTCCAGGATTCTGGTCTCTTAGGTTGCCGTGTGGCGAGTGGCATTCACATCAGCACGCATAATCTCAAGTGTGTGTGTCTATATATATATATTCAATATGTATATATACAGTAATGATAAACAAAACAACCCCCCACTGAAAGACTTTAAACACAAAACTGCTTGCAGCATGATGGCCAATCATTGAAACGAAGTTCCAAGAGGAGCACTGTATTGTAAGTGACATACTGGATAGACAAGTTGTTTTCACCGTTTCAAAATATGTCAAACACTATAGCGCAAGATCTGCCGGATACGTGCTGATTGATCAATTGAACAAAAGTTCGCACAAAGTATCCTTGGACCAGACTCCGAGGGAATCAGTCTTGCCCAGAAGTTCGGTGGACTCCTCGTCCGCCTGCAAAAGCGCTGCTGGTCAGGTACTATTTTTGCGAGAGAAACATGTCCTCAGTCAAGTCCCTGACGGTAGCATGTTCAGTTCTTTGAGTGCATTTAGTGCTTCAGCAATCTCTCTTCCACCTCAGAGCTTGTGCTTGTACTCAGAGGCATAGGATTCCTGAGAGGGCAGCAACACCAAAATGGGTTTTACGAGCATGCACCGGGTCAATCCATCGCGATGCTGCCGTTGGGCTTTAGGAACAGAAGGTTGCTCTCAGAAATCAAACAAGTCAGCAAATGCGAACATGTCGAAAGGAGGAGTCTCTTGATCAACTTTGGCAGGCTTTTGTCAATGTTCACTTCCGGAAGCTGACTAATGAGGAGACACAACTGAAACATGTCAGGCTAGCCTAGCTCTGCCCCAACTGAACCATGCCAAACACTACTTTCCTAAGCCGTTATACTCACAGCATACTGTCGCACGTCCTTTCGCGTTGCTCGTGGGCCCACAGATTGAGTTTAAGCTTTCGCACGCACTTTTTTTGCAACAGTTGCTTTTGCAGTGGCTTTCGCGCGCAGACTTATTCTGTGGACATGTGCGTTCGCAACCCCTTTCGCGGCGAATACTTTCTACACTCTTTCGCAAACAGCTTTTGCAAGCTTGCGCGGCCTGGGTTTTTTGCTTTCGTGCCACAAAGTTGGAGTAGCCCTCTTACTGACCCTGTACATGGGAGTTCAAAACACCATGAGCTCCTGACTCGTTTCTTTTCGAAGGTCCATGCTTCACCAGCTGCACCTCGACAATTGAAAAGCGTAAAGGCGATCTCTGCCAGCCCTGCACTGAAACAAACACATCCTGCAGCTACACACCCATCCTGTAGCTCATGGTTCTGAAGCGGTATGCCGGTGTACGTCTGGAGCCTTGGCATTGGGCATTGAAGCTTCAATTACCGGAAGCTCAAGAATCGTTTTGGGTCTTCGGCGTGGCATTGATCGTCAACGACTTGCTGGGCAGCAGGAACTGAGGTGCACCGAGCATCAACACTGCCTTGGTCCAGGCAGTTCCTTACTGTACAATATTAATCTACGGGCCTATCTATCTACCTTCCAATCCTGCCGAAGGTTGCCCACATCTTCCAAAAAATCAACTTTAAGCCCGTGGTTGGTGCTTTACAGCATTGTGCACTATAGGGTGTTGTGCTGGCAGCCTTGTCTGCCCATGCAACAATATCAGCCTGGGTCAATGTTAAAAGTCACACACCTGGCCAGATGGATCCTGAACAAACACTGGACACGTCCAACACTCTACTGTAACAATGTTCGTCAAACATCAGCTTTTACTTGACGTATCTCCTGAAATAGCTACTGACTATGAGACTATACATGTATGCCAAGACTTGGTGCAATCTGTCAAACCTTCCTGCAAAACAAAGCGCTGCTTTTCGCCCTGGTTCCAGAACATGCCGAGCAAAGATCTCAGCTCGATTCTTCAACGAACCAAGCCTAAAGTGCTTGGAATCTTAGAATTCGTCATGAAGGTACGGAAATACCTGGTAATCCATTGGCGGGATGCATTCACCACGTTCGTTTTGCGAGAAATGCTCAAAGCAACAGCGGCAAAAATACGCAGGATTGAATGGACAACGAGAAGAATCCAGGACGACCCAGGAAGCCAGCATCTTCTTGCAAACCACGCAGCATCTTTTTCGATATCTACGCATCCAAATCAGGCATGGGTATGCATCTCTGAGGGGACAATCCACCTTTGGGTTCAACAGCCTGGCATCTGTAAAGTACATGAGGTGCTCAATGTCACCTTGCCGAATAAAGCAACACTTCTCACCAAAAGGTATTCTGTCCAAGTCGCAAAAGCGGGCCTCCATGGTCCGAGAACACTCCTCTTTCAGCTGAATATGTCCAGCCTTCTTGATCCACTCAACTAGTTCTTTTGAATAGTCCAGTGCAGAGGACTCACGCATGTCCGAATAAAATATTCCATCAATGAACATGCAAGCAGACCTCCTGCTAGGTCCGTCGTACATCCAGTCACCAACAAAGTAAAGGGCATCCCTCAAGTCATGGAGCGTTTGACTTGCAAGAACATCGTACTCTTGCTCCTTGCAACCTTTTTGGTCACACAACATCACAGTAAGGATCACATCCTCTGCACTCACTCGAGAAAGCTCTGGTGGCAGTTGGGCTTGGGATTCAGCTTTGCATCGCTTTAACATCCTGTCAACCCACCGACCATGAGGACACCCTTGCACTGCATTTCTGAAGACTTCCTCGCTCTGGAAGTTCTTCGCTGTGTCTGACCGCTTTGAAAAGGATTTCTGCGAGTCATGTTTCTCAACTGGTTCAAGTGGCTCAATGTCCAATTCATCGCCCAAATCAGGCAGAAAGGACAAGGAGTCTAGCACATCACGTGCCCGTTTGCTCCACTCCACAATATCAGTTGGTGGCTTCTGTGTTTCATTCAGCTCATTTGAGGCCAGCAAATCCATTGCTCTGGATGCATATATGGGTGCTGGCAAAAGCACGCTAAAGAACGTATAGTATGAAAACTGCTGACTCTGTCAGTTGGCATTGTGCCAGTGATGAATCTGGAATTGTGTTTGTTTAGGATCCTAAAGGATTAGGATGATTTTGAGCATGTGCAAAGATGAAGCCTAAATGTTAGTACACATGTCAACATGTGCAAAGTCCGATGAAGAAGAGTCAAAAACGGCGTGATTGATTCCAAAGTGTTCTATAGTTCTTGTTCATAGCAAGGGGTTGGGTAAGGGGACTGGACCGGTTCTTACTTCCATGTTGTCTTTCCACCCGCGATAAAGGCGAAATGCAAAGCACCGCCACTGAGTTGTGAACGCTTGGAGGTCGAGGATCCGCTATCAAGATATCCTGATAAAATCCAAAGTATTTCCCACAAAGGATTGTTGTGTTGAACCTTATGTTCTCTCTCTCTCTCTCTCTGATTGCTAGCTACTAGTGAGCTACTATGCAAAATAAGCTGCGCACTAGGAAAGAAGTCCCCTGAACGGACACCGCTGGAGTCTGCATTTGGCTGCGGATCTGACGCCACGCAGAACCTCAAGTGCTAAGTTGTGGCCACACTGCAATGGCTGCGTTCAGCTCAAAACAGCTTTCCTTGACGCCGAGTGGCAACTTTCGGGCACCTGGCCACGAGCAACAAGGTTTGTCTACAACACTTTGACATATGAAGGACAAGGGATCATGAGGCTGCTGCCTGAATCATCTTCCCTGCCCAGTACATAGAGACAGCAGGCAGTCTTCCTCAGTAAAAGTCAATCCATCTTTCTTTGTAAACATGGGGATGAAAGAGCTCGGCTGTGCTGTCCCACAGGATTCGGATCAAAAAGTACCTCTGCCCGCCCCCACAAATGGCCAACCAAGTGACCCAGGGATGCATTTTGCGGCCTGAGCATCCGCAGACTGAATTAGAAGCTCATGGACTCATGGATGGAAAGTGCAACTGAGCTCAGTTTGCTCCTGAATATCACTACCGATCACTACCGTTTAGGCAAAGGTCCTGGCACCGTGATGTTTGCAGTAAACATACCCATCACCGACAGGGGCCTGGCACCAAAGCCGGCTTCGACACCAGTGGCATTGAGATGATAAAGAGAAGAAGAAGAATATACGGGTTCCTTCAATAAGCTTTGATAAGGCCCCTAAAGGAGCCCAAGGAGGAGTTATGGCCTCCAACCTAATAGCGATGGCCTCCAACCTACTAGGGAGAAGAAAGAATGTAAGGGCTCCTTTAGCACGCTTTGATGAGGCCCTTACCCTCTTTCTCTCTCCTTTTTGCGTAAGCTCTGCACCATAGGTGGATGCTGCAGACTTCTTCCTGTCCGGGGCGCTCAAGCCTTGGGTCGAACCAGGCAAGGCCACAAATTATATACAGTCGACAAAGTGTGGAGCTCCGTCGAGCTCCGTGTGCTCCCTGGTCCTTTAAAAAAAGCCTCTTTTCCGAAGCGTTCTTGCAAAAAGCCTTCTTGTAAGGAGCAATATGGAGCAAAATGAATTAAAATAGAGTTGGGCCCCGTTGCTAAATGGCTTTTGACAGCCCTCTTATTACTACTGAGGCATCGAGCTTCCAAATGATTTCGGAGATGATCAATGCCTGAATTGGTGACAAACACGTCTCGCAAATGGCTGCATGTCAGTGCATTGAGAGTTGCTTGTATCGCGCACACGGATTGGGTCTCGCTTTTTTATCGAGCAACTGGCAGAGTTCAAGACTCCACTGCTTCAGAATCTACCCCCTTCGATCGCATGGATTTGAAGGACCAGGCTCTGCGCTGTTCCCCCAAACATTCCTTGCAATCTTCCTCCTGTGAGTTTAGCAAGCAAAACCAATGTTGTCCCTATGTTTCATGGGCTATGCATGCAAGTAGTTCTTACATGTCTTAAACAGAAACATGACCTTGTTCTGCTAGCAACGGGACCTGCTTCTTGTGGCAGTTTGCTCAGTTGCCCTCACCTTGAAGCGTGAACAGCTCCAGGTAAGACATTGTGAACTTGATTCATCTGAAATCCAGCTGAAGCCAATTGAAAACATAATTAAACTAATCTTGTATATATGCAATTGAACCTGTGTCGGAAAGAATGCCAAAGTGCGACAAGTTAAGTGTTCCTAAAAATCTAGGAACCAAATCATTAGCGCGAGCGCTTCTTCAATAAAGCTCTCCCCTGCCGCCTTTAGGGCGGCGGGGGGAGCTTCCTTGAAGAAGCGTGAGCTATCCTGTGTCCAGTAGGTAGGAGCTTCCTATTGCTAGTAGCTTGTTTACTCCCTCAATAAAGTAGGCGCTTACTTAGTTATATACTGTAAGTAGGAGTGGGCCAAAAAAAGAAAGCAGCATGACTTTGTGATCTTCTTAGTTCTGTGGCTCTGGCCTGCATAATTTTCCTCGGCACGGTCATCGCCTCAGCTTTGTCCACGTCTGTCTTTACCACACTTAATGCCTATCGATGCCCTTCCCCTATTCCGAACGTCTTTTCTTTTTGACCTGTCTACGAATAGCAATGTCATTTCGTACACAAGTCTCCAATGTCCTTTCAAGTCACGACCTCGCCGGCGGCTGCGGCTTCCTGAGCTCCCGAGGAGCTTTGCTTTGCAAGTTTATAGCTATGCAGGAACTTTGACTACTCTCCTTAATATCAGAAACTGTGTTTACTTTCTTGCAAACAGAGGGGCTGCCGTGGCGGCGCCCGCCATCAGCTTGCTCACCAGGGCGATCTCCACCACCACGGTGACCGCCCGGGTGGTCTGCACCAGCACGGTGGTCTGCACCGCCACGGTCCCCACGACCACCGCGGCTTCTACCTTAATTGATATCAATCAAACAATATCAAATAATGACGGATCACACATTATTGTAATATTGTCATGTTTCAGGTGGTAAGTACGTCTGTCATGTTTCAGGTGGTAAGTACGTCTGCCCCTATGTCTACATTACCAAGCATCAAGTAACCCTAGATATACTATTCGCACGCGCTTTGCCAACAAAGGCTCGATTGAATTCACTTCTATAAGATCTAGACCTATCAATTCCACCTGAGCTTTGCTGATCTGCACACTCTGCAGCTCTTCAGCACCGGCACCAGTGCTTGGAGCACAGTGGTCATTCTAAATGCAGACAACCAGCTTCGTCCACCCCGGCCGCCCCGATGCCGCCGATCTCGGCTGGGACTGCGTCGAGTTGGGGTCCTGTCACACAGAAGCTCTTAATGCGACGGACGACGGAGGATGCAAATGAATGCAGCAAATGCTATCTTCTCTTCAACTGCAGGAATCCCTATTATGCCAAATAGTTCATTCTCATCTGATCTGGGCTGTCCTCCGTCTTGAGAAAAACTGTTTTGAAAACAAGAGTGGCGCTAGCTATAAAACCGCTCCACTGAGGAGTCGAGGAGTGCTTCTTTGCTATGAGTGTGCTCCGCGGCCTGCTTCTGCCGCTTTTGGCCTGCTTTGTGTTTGTCTCCTTGCCAGCCAAGTGCAATTCCACTTCTTGCAGGCTAGGCTACTCGACAAACGGTGGTGGGCCTTCTTGTGGAGATAGCTGCCAATAGCTGGCGCGCGTGTGCAAGGTTCAATTGGCTTGCCAGCCTTGATATCCCGGAGCATCTGCATTACCTGAGCAGAAAGGCTTTCCCAGCTGCAGTGTTGCTGACAACACTTGGGTCCCAAGCCAAGGAGGAAGGCTTGTTTGAAGCTGCCAAGTGCTCCGAGATCTTCCTTTGCAAAAAGGAGGAAAGCAATGAGAAATACGTTGCTCATTCCTTGCAACGATTCACCAGACAAGTCCGTGAGGTATCGTTTAGAAGAAGCAGAATCATGGAGCACAAACATACAAGAAAGCTTAGCTCCTTGGGAGGTCCTGACCAACGAATACTACCTCATGAACAAATCTCTGATGGAATAACTGCTGCGTCTTCCTACAGTGTCCTTTGCAAGCGCTTCGTTCGCAGAGATCTCAGCAAGTCCTTCTATAGAGGCTCTGGGCAGCTTGCAAAAAGTCTCACAAAAGTGGGTGGCATGTCCGATGTACTTGTGAAGAGGGTAAGCCTCTGGAGAGGGTTTCGTCACCTAAGTTGGGAAAGCCTCTAGAATACAACAAAAGAGGTGCACTTGGCGCAAAAGTGGCTCATCGTGTCACGTCTGGCTGATTTACAAGTCATTTTAACTAAAGCCTCACATAGATCTGAGGTCAAACGACAAGACCTTTGACGTTATGAGAACTTCAAAGACTCGAAGTCTTTGGGCTTTTGTTTCAGTCTTAAGACTCGAAGTCCTTTGGGCGAGTTCTTCACCGTCACAGTTGCCAAGTGGACAGGTGACATCTTTGACGCATTCTCATGCGTTGGTCCGGGTGTCTTTTTGGACCAAATGCCAATGCTAAGTTGGGCTGATCAAGGAGCACCTGCCCTTGCTCTTTTCTATGCTTTTTGCCGGTTGGCCGCTTCTTCATCGCTCAGGGGCCAACACGGGCCCACACGGCCCAGGTGCCTGGGCTCCTCATGTGTTTTCGAAGCGGGTGGTCTGTGGATACCTGTTTGCCCAGGATCCGGGTGTGCTCTTAAGAGACATCGGCAATCGTCAAAGGCCGACCCAAACTAGTAGCTTCTTGTTCCCATTAGTAAGGCCAGGAGCGCCCCTAGTAGCGTCCTTGCTCCTAGTAGCGATGCCAGGAGCTACTAGTGGCAAGAATGCCACTAGTAGCGATGGCTTCCTGGCTTTCGCAGATTGTCTCGGAGTCTGGCCTGAGATCTGCATCTGGGTCATCTCGGCATTCCAGCACTTCGGCCAGCTTGCAAGCAGACGGGGCATCCAGTTTGTACTTCTTCGCAGCCTGTCGACGCTTTCCATCAAACTTCTTCTTTCAGTTTCCAAATGAAGCTGCAGCCCACCTTCTCCACAGCCGGATTCGGGGTCAGTGTTCCACGAAAGACACCGCGCTCCATCCAACGAATGCTCACCTAAATAGTGTATGAGACAAGTCTGCTTAATGTTTTCTTTCAAACACCGAACTTGGAGTCTGGCCATGAGAAGATCTCCTGGAAGACGCAAGACATGGAAGAAAGCTTGCCCGAACTTGTACCTTGATTTCCTCTAAGCATCTTCCTGTGTGCAAGCATATTTCAAGCCTTCAACTTTTTCTGAACCTGTGGCTGAGTTCAGATCCCACCATCACCCTGAACTTGATATAAAGCTACTTGGTTCATCCAGGTATCCCAAGAGCTTTGACCTTCAACTCGCTCCTGGATTCTTGGCACCCTTCAGAATCTCGTACAAAGATGCAATATCCTCTTCATAGGTATTGTTCCGCCGCCTGGGCCAGCAAAAAACTAATTCGCCGCATTTGAACAAATGACATCATGACATGTATATATTTCAAACACTTTGACAGGTTGTGACAGGTTGCTTCAGTTGCTCATTCAACATCCGTGCGTGTCGGTCTGAGATCTTGAAGTAGTGCACCAGCTCTATGACTTCTGGCTCCAAAGCCTTTCCGAGTGGATGAGCAGGAAAAAGGCTATCCGGCGGATGCTTACAAGAGCGCAAGCGGACCGAGTGCTTTGCAAGATTCTGCATGAACTAAACAGTGAACAAACATGCTTTCGCTGCTGCCAGGCTACCGTGTCTCGAGCTTTGGTCTCCTCATACCTGTGCATGTTCTCAAGTATTTTGGGAGGTTTCTTGCGAGAAGGCAAAGTGATGAAGACAAGAGCCACAATAATGGCACTGACTCAATAATCTCGTTTTGTTGCCAGCAGCTTCAGGGAAAACTTTCAGTGATTGATCACTCTGAGTTCAAAGCTCCATAGCTTGCTGTTGAGTCAGGTTGACCGGCTGTCCAGGAAGTGGTGGCACTGGTGGTACCATGCCAGGCACCACTGGCGGTCGTACTCCCATCAAGCCAGGCGGGAAACCTGGAGATCGCAACAAATTGCTCTTGCTCTCAAAATTGAAAACTAGCTCCCCTTGGCAAACATGGTTGAAAAAACGTATACAAACATCGCATGTACAACAACAACAACCGGTTCTTCACTGCAATACCCTCCCGAGCCAACATCTACCAACCCAAACAGCTCAAGTACTTCATATTCCAACCCATTTGCACTTTGGCCGCAGCAGCTCCAACCCTTTCGCATTCTACCAAGAAAGAAAGCAAGTCCAGTGCAATGACAAAATAAAAGCTGACCTGGAACTGGAGGTGCACCAGGGACTGCTTGCATCTTGCCTAGCGCACTCGCCACACCAGGTGGGATGTTTGCAATGCCTGCCAGCAATAGAGACAAAACACAAAAGTTCAACTTTGGGATTCCAGGGTGGGCTGGAGTTGAAAGTCCCAAAGCGAGGCGCAAGTCTGCCTGGTGGCAGGTTTGCAGCAACTCCTGCTGGGATGCTGGCAGCGACACCAGGTGGGATGTTGCCAAAACCTCCGAATGCTACTCGATGCAAGAAATCACAGAGGACCAAAGATTACATTTGCACAGAAATGAGTACTACCCAAAAAAGCAAGAAAAAGACATGTCCTACGTAGTCACTGCTCGCAACCTTTACAAACAAAGCCGAAGTCTAAGCTCCTGATAGGGTCAAACACAAAGGAAAACCCAAACAAAATGTAAGAACCCCTTTAATCAGGGCCCTTTAATATAAAGTGGACCTTTCTCAAGAGGGCCTAACTTACCTTCTTTTCTGCAGTTCTTGTAATAAAGACAGCTCTTTTGGTTTCTAGATATTGCCTGGCATCCCGATTCCAGGCAGCTTGGGTAAAGGAAAGCCGGGCCTTGAGGCGAAGCTTGCTTTCAATATAATATGTTGTCTCTATGTACATCGAATAGACTCCACATCATACTGCTTATAGCACGTTCTCATATTCTTTATATTTATACATATATACATATATATATATCTCACGATGAACACTCTAAGGGTCAAGCGGTGGCACTGCAGGCACTGCAGGTGGTGGTGGCAGGGGTATGTCCTTCTTTGGCAGTGCCAAGGCCTGCGCATCAAATTGTATTGATTGATCGAGCATCTTTGCCGCTGATGCTTCTCTGGCTGCTGAGAACAAAACCTTGCAATAATCAGCTCGTTTACAATTGGACCCCTAGGTTGCAAGGTCAGTGTGTACTGGATGCCTGGGGCTCGTTCTTCGCGCCAGGGAGTGGTGGCTGAGAGCCATACTTGCCCTCAATCTCTTCAATCTTTTCCTTGCACAAAATATTGCGTGTGTGTGTGTAACCATTGGACTCAAAGGGAACCTTAAGGTTTGGAACAGGGGG